AGGCACACACTTCCCAGCCTCCTTTGCAGTTAGGTGGGAGCTGTTATGCATTGAATTGTGTCCCCCAAAAAGGTGTGTCAGATTGGCTAGGCTATGGTTCCCAGTATTGTGTGGTTGTCCTCCATTATCCTATGTGCTGTACATTCTAACCTCTTTGATGTTAATGAGGCAGGATTAGAGGCAGTTATGTTAATGAGGCAGGACTCAATCTACAGGATTAGGTTGTATCTTAAGTCAATCTCTTTTGCAATATAAAAGAGAGAATTGAGCAAGAGGAGAGGGACCTCCTACCACCAAGAAAGAGGAGCCAAGAGTAAAGCATGCCCTTTGGACTCGGGGTCCTTGCACTGAAAAGCTCCTAGACTAGGAGAAGATTGATGACAAAGACCTTCTCCCAGAGCTGACAGAGAGAGAAAGCCTTCGCCTGTAGCTGGCACCCTGAATTCGAACTTCTAGTCTCCTAAACTGTGAGAGAATAAACTTCTGTTTGTTAAAGCCATCCACTTGTGGTATTTCCATTATAGCAGCACTGCATAACTAAGACAGGAGCCATGTAGCTGAGTTCTGGCCAATGGACTGTGGACAACATAAATGACACTTCAAAGCCTGGCCCTAATATCCAAACCTGATTCCATGTTCTCTCTTCTCGTTTTTTAAGTAGACCTGCAAAGTTAAAAATTACAATATAGAAAGGCAAAATAGGATGGTTAGAAATGAAATATGAGACTTGTATCCATTATCTACTTTGTGCTGAGAGAGGAAGGGAGTGGCAAGGACTGGCCTTACCACTTCTCTTGCTCGGAGCTGCAAGCTTCTCATTGTCCAGTCGGCCCTGGAAAATGCCTGCTACTCCTTCCCCCAACCTAGGAGTCATCTCACCCTTACCTGTAAGGGATTCCGCCTTCTCAGAATCACCATTTTAAATGAACATCACATCATGTCTTGCCACTGCTCAAAATCCTCCCATGGGCTCCCATTTCACACCAAATAAAGTCCAAAGTTCTCACCTTGGCCTACAGGGACCTACATGTTCTGCCCCCAGGCTACATCCTTGATGACCTCTCCCACCATGACTGCCTTCTACCCTAGTTAGCTCCACCCACCAAGCACATGATCACTTTAGGGCTCTTATGTATGTTGCTTCTGCCTGGACCTACTTAATCGTAGACTGAATAATGGCCCTCCAAAGATGTCTACTCCTAATCCCTAGAACCAGTGAATATGTTACCTTACATGGTAAAAGAGTCATTGCTGATGTGATTAAGTTAAAGATCTTGAGGTGGGGAGATCATCCTGATTATTTGAGTGTTGTGAGGTGCCGTAAAGTCAGTTCTGACTCAGAGTGACCCTATGTACAACAGAACGAAACACTACCCGGTCCTGCGCCATCACAATTATTGCTATACTTGAGCCCTTTGTTGCAGCCCCTGTGTCAATCCATCTCATTGAGGGTCTTCCTCTTTTTCACTGACCCTCTACCAAGCATGATATCCTTCTCCAGGGACTGATCCCTCCTGATAACATGTCCAAAGTATGTGAGACGAAGTCTTGCCATCCTTGCTTCCAAGGAGCACTCTGGCTGTACTTTTTCAAAGACAGATTTGTTCATTCTTCTGGCAGTCCATGGTATATTCAATATTCTTTGCCAGTATCATAGGCCTCAATACTTCTTCGGTCTTCCTTATTCATTGTCCAGCTTTCACATGCATACGAGGCGATTGAAAACACCATGGCTTGGGTCAGGCGCACTTTAATCCATAAAGTGACATCTTTGCTTTCTAACACTTTAAAGAGGTTTTTTGCAGCAGATTTGCCCAATGCAATCGTCATTTGATTTCTTGACTGCTGCTTCCATGGGTGTTGATTGTGGACCCAAGTAAAACGAAATCTTTGACAACTTCAATCTTTTCTCCATTTATCATGATATTGCTTATTGGTCCAGTTGTGAGGATTTTTGTTTTCTTTATGTTGAGGTGTAATCCGTACTGAAGGCGATTACAGTCTTTGATCTTCATCCGTAAGTGCTTCAGGTCCTCTTCACTTTCAGCAAGCAAGGTTGTATCAACATATCACAGGTTGTTAATGAATCTTCCTCCAATCTAATCAGAAGGGTCCTTATAAGAAGGAGGCAGGAGGGTCTGAGTCAGAGGAGAAAAAGTGACGATGGAAGCATAGAAAAGAGAGTCAGAAAGAGAGTCTTGAAGATGCTACACTGTTGACTTTGAAGATGCAGGAAGGGGCTATAAGCCAAGGAATGCAGGTGGCCTCTAAAATCAAAACCAAAACAAAACCCATTGCCATGGAGTTGATTTTGACTCATAGTAACCCTACAGGACAGAGTGGAACTGCCCCATAGGGTTTCCAAAGCTGTAATATTCCAGAAGCAGACTGCCACATCTTTCTCCCACAGAATGGCTGGTGGGTTCAAATCGCCGACCTTTTGGTTAGCAGCCAAGCGCTTTACCACGCACCACCAGGGCTCCTCGCAGGTGGTCTCTAGCAGCTGGAAAAGACAAGGAAATGGATATTCCCCTAGAGCCTTCCGAAGAAACAGTCCTGCCAACACTTTTATTTTAGCCAACTAAGACCCATTTCAGATTTCTGACCTCCAGAGCTGTAGGAGAATAAATTTGTGTTGTTTTAAGCCATTTAGTTTGTAGTAATTTGTCATAGCAGCAACAGAAAACTAATACACTCTTCATCCAGATTTCTACTTGTCCAGCTTTTTTTTTTTTTTTTTGGCCTTAAGGGGTCAGCTAAAAAGTCACCTCTTCAGAGAAGCTGATCCTGGCTGCTCCATCTTAATACTTGTTGAATGAATAATTGAAAAAGGAAATATACACTTGACTGTAATAAAGGCTGAAGCTAAGAGCTCACAAAATAAACCTGTGGGCTGAATTTAGCCAGCAGACCTGTTTTATTTGGCTTGCATTGTGTTTGAAAACTTTTTTGAGCCAACATTCGTAAATTGGAGAGTTTTACAAAAACATCTCGATCTCCAGAATCACTTGAAATTTCCAGGAGGACCAGGCCTGCGTTCCTGCATGGCAATCAGCAAACCAGCTAGAATTTTATGAGCTATCTCCACAGTCCTGCTCCCCCAACCCCCAGGATAAAAACGCTCCACAGCCCCACAGCTTCCCCAAGGCCTTGCCCCTTGTTTATATTTTCTGCTTGGCCCCTGTAGGCCATTGAGTTAGCAACCCCAGAGTCTCAGTTAGGGTTCCCTACAAGCAAATATTAAAATAGAAGGTAGGAAAATGGAAACAGAAGAACCAAATGAAAATTTTAGAACCGAAAAATACTCAGGTAAAAAACTCACTGAATAGATTCCATAGCAAAATGACAGAGTAGACAATGAATTTGAAGATAGATTGATAGAGACTCTCCAGTATGAACCACAGAGGAAAAGAGATGGAAAGAAGAGTGGAACTCCTCCATAGGGTTTCCAAGGAGCAGCTGGTGGATTCCAACTGCTGGCCTTTTGGTGAGCAGCTGAGCTCTTTACCACTGTGCCACCAGGGCTCCGCATGGACACCAGGAGGTGGGAGATCATTGGGGGTCACCTGAGGGTCTGTTGGCCACAGTGGGCACCGACAGGAGTGGTTATGAGGCTGGCGTGGCCTTCAGTGTTATGCAGATGGGCCTGGGCACAGCACCTGTGCTTGACTCAGGTCATCCTACTTCCAGCCACTACACCCACAACAGGGGCTGCTATGGGTACAAGAAACCAGGGGGTCCCTGGGAGCAGTCAGAGAGCTCCTCCAGGGGTCTCCCATCGCTGGCCCATTCCCAAGCTTGCTGTGTGACCTCAGGCAGGTTGCTTGAGCCCTCTGGGCCTTGACGTTCTCAGCTGCCAAATGAGGTTAATAATAATAATAATAGTAATTGTAATGCTAGCCCCGTGGGGTGGTTCCAAGGACATAATGCTTGAGAAGGGTTTGAGTTCTAACCACACCAGTGTGTCCAAAAGTGTCTGCTAGTATTTTTGCTGTTATCTCCTTCTGCTTCCCATGAACCCCCTTTAATTCTCAATAAGGATCCCCTCGTTCTGCAGGCATCGCTGAGCCTCTGGGTACTGCATGAAGTGCCAAGAGTTTTGGCAACAATGTCTGGGGTGTGAGGGGTGAGCTCCTCCCTCTGGCGGTGGGGCAGAAGTTCTGTTCTGGGGAGAGTTCCAGATCTACCCCACAGTCATTGCTTCACTGAGGAATATTAGGGCAATGAATGTTAAAAGGCATTAATATTTTATTTCTCACTCTCTCACTATACTAGGCAGAGTATATAATTTCTGGGAACAGCCAGCCTGGTGATTCCTGTGGGTTGGCTGGCTGGGCCAGGCTTGGCGCCTTGTCCTGGTGAAGGGGCCTGGCTCCCCTTCTTGGACCCCAAGGAGGCTCTCTCCATTGCAGAAGCTGTGGATGGGGGGACTGACGTGTGTCCTGGCTTCCCTGGGCCACCACTCCACTGCACCTTCTCACTTGGGGAGATGTGGCGAGGCCCAGATGCTCTGGGCACAATTTGAGGGGGGCAGGACAAAGAGGGTGGGGTGGGAAAGGCAGGGGCCCAGTGCAGACCGGAGAGGTCTGGGAGTTACCCACCCCCATCTCAGTCCTTGTCCTGGAGGGGGCGGGATGGGTGAGGTGGCTACAGGTTACCCCATGGGAGGCTTACCCTGAGAATAGCCTCACCCTCCCTCCCTCCCTCTGAAGAACACAGGGCTTGAGCCAGGCCATCTGGGTTTGAACTGGAGCCCCCTGCAATTACTAGGTAAGTGGCCTTGCCTTGGCTTCCTGGTCTGTGGAACGGCGATGACGGACGAGCCAGCAGCAGGGCCTGGCATCGGGAAGAGCTAAGGAGCTGCTGCCACAGGTCTGTCTTGGTTCACACAGCATCTCAGAGCCTCGTGTGGGAAGGGCACGGAACAGCCGCTGCAGGAGGGGCAATGGAGGTAATGAAGGAACAAGAAGCTGAATCCTCTCAGGCACTGAGGCCTCACTTTATTTCACCAGCAGCACCTGATTGCACTTTTTGCCCTGGAAAGGGCGCAGGACCTTGAACAGTGCCCCAGCCAGGGCCAGGACTGTGCCCACGAGCAGCATGAGCTTCAGCCCCTTGAGGACGGAGTCGGCCTTCCCTGTCTCCTGCCGCCCTCCAGCTTCCTCTCTCCCGTGAGACAGCAGCACCTCTGGTTCCGACGTGGGGTTGAATCGAGCCACAAGCTCCTGCTGCACGAAGCACGTGTAAATGGCCGGGCGGAAGATCTGCAGCTGGCTCCCGCCGGTGGAGGAGTCCATGCTGGCGCTAAAGTCCTGGCTGGAGAGCTGGTCGCGCCAGGTCAAGGGGACGTTGTCGGCTTCCCAGATGACCGGCCTGCAAGGAGGACAAGGTCAGGGGCAGGGCCTCGGGAGGATGAGGGGGCTGGCACCCGAGGAAAGTGGAGAGAGTGCCATCTCCTCCCTGGGGGACAGCAAATACAGCATACCCCTCCCATTAAAAATGGCAGGTGGCAGGCCGCTCTCCGAGCTCCAGCCCTCTCCAGCTGGGTCACCTGGACAAATGCTTCTAGATCTCTGAACCTTTATTTCCTCCCCTGAAAAGTGGGACTGTAACGATTGTTTCTATTTCATGGGTTATTTGGAGGAATTAGTGAGGACATTCCCTAAATGGTGTGCCTCCTCTGCCCCTCAACTGACCACATCTCCACTCTCCCCTCACTCGCTGCCCCAGCCACACCGGCCCCTACACATTGTGGCGGCACTCCTGCCTCAGGGCCTTTGCCCTAGCTGTTCCTTTGTCCTAGAATGCTCTCTCTCAGTCCACATGCCTCCCTCCCCTCCTTCAAGTCCTTGCTGAAATGGAAACTTCTTGGACAAGCGTTCCCTGACCCTTCTCCCATTTATTATTTTAATATCCTCTACTTCCTATACCCCTCCCTGCCCTTATCACCATTGAAAACACTGTGTATGTCTATCCATGTATTCGGTTTATTCCTCTATGAGGACAGGAATCTTGGTCAGTTTTGGTCTTGGATGTATCCCAGATGCCTAGAACAGCGCCTGGCACATGAATGCTCAGTGAATATGTGTTAAATGAATAAAGGGATCAGGTACCTAACATGCCCGGCACGGCTAAGGGACCGAGGGGATGCTCTGCAGACATTAGCTGACATCATAACCAGGCCAATAATCATAAGCGCAACAGCTACCACCTAAATAGAGCGTGGAGCCCTTGTGGCGCAGTGGTTAAGAGCTCGGCTGCTAACCAAAAGGTTGGCAGTTTGAATCCACCAGCTGTTCCTTGCAAACCCTATGGGGCAGTTCTACCCTATCCTATAGGGTCGCTATGAATTGAAATCAACTTACCGGCAATGGGTTTGGTTTTGGTTTCAGTATATATAGAGATATAGAGTGTGTAACTATTTGTCAGACATGGTTGTAAGCACTTTACATGCATCGGCCCTCTTAAACATCGCAGTGACCCCAGAGGGTCAGGGCCAGCAAGACCCCCATTCTACAGATGAGGAAACTCAGGCCCAGAGAGAAGTCCAACACCACACAGCTGGAAAGGGCAGAGCTGAGATGGGAACCCAGGCCTGGCTGAACCCAGAGCCCAAGACGGAAACCTCACAAGGAAGCTCTCTTTATATCTCAGGTTCCCTGTGGCCAGCACTCGGGAAGTCCTTGTCTCCCAGTGACATGGAGTCAAACTAAAACCAAACCCGTTGCTGTCAAGTCATTTCTGACTCATGGCGACCCTACAGGACAGAGTAGAACTACCCCGTAGGCTTTCCAAGGAGCGGCTGGTGGATTCGAACTGCTGGCCTTTTGGTTAGCAGCCTAAGCCCTTAACCACTGTGCCACCAGGTCTCCATGACTTGGAGTAGGTGTCCCAATATAGACTGAGGAGGGGTTCACGCTGTTTTCCTTACAGAGCAGATATGATTTTTATACTTAAAAGAGGAGGAAGAAAGGAGAAACAGAGAGAGAGAGAAAAATGTCCAAGAGTGAGGGAAAGAGAGGCCTAGAAGTCACAACTGGAATAAACAAGGACAGACAACCAGGTGGAAGCAGTGAAGCCGGAGTCCACAGAGCCTTCGCTGGGCTGCAGAGGCACACTGCCTTGTTCCAGCTGCCCCACTTTCACCCTCTAGCATCTTCCCCTAGCATGTGGGGAAGGAGAGGGAGCGGGGAACCCCATGGCTACGTCTGTGGGCTTTGGGGTCCACAGTGCTACATCCTACCATAGATTCTTGGGCAAGGACTGTGACCCTCCAAGCTGCAGTTTCTCTGTCTGTAAAATGGGCCTCCTGAGTCCACAGCCCCTGGGGCCAGGGAGGATGGAGTGAAGGATGCTGTCCGTGAAAACAGCCTGCCCAGGGCCTGGCCTTTGGTGAAGCTCAGCGCCTGTGAGCAGTTCTATTCCTTATTACAGAGGGGATGGGGAAGGAGAAGGGCTGGGGAGAAAAGGTAAAGGGGAGACTGTCTAGGGGCTTTAGGCAGGAAGACAGGAACACGGGTGTGAGCTACATGATACAGCTCCTATGGGTGTTACTGGGGACACCATGCCCTCCCCTACAGCCCCATCACTCTGCCCAGGTCCCCTCATCACAGCCCCATCACTCTGCTCATGTCCGCCACCACGGCCCCATCACTCTGCCCAGGTCCCCTCATCATGGACCCATCACTCTGCCCAGGTTCCCCCATCACGGCCCCATCACTCTGCCCAGGTTCCCCCATCACGGCCCCATCACTCTGCCCAGGTTCTCCCACCACAGCCCCATCACTCTGCCCAGGTTCCCCCACCACGGCCCCATCACTCTGCCCAGGTTC